TCCCACATCGGCTAGTAAGGTGAACGAAGCATGCCATATATATGGGTGTGGATACCTTACTCTTGAGGACGCGTTTTGGGGTGGTGTTGGCCATTCCCGAGAACAAAGCCGTGAGGTCGTGGGCCAAAGCGGACAATATCCTCATGCGGGTTGCGCGGGCTGTTACATATTGACCTTAATGATGACATAGCGGAGCATCAAGTGTTTGCAGGTATACCAGCTAGAATGAGCACTACACCAATGTATATGGGAAGGCCTGTTGTTGATCAGATTAATCATGGGCTGCAAAACCATCCTTTTCCATCTCCAATGGGGCCCATCCCTAATCACCAAAACCATTCTTCCAGTTCAGACAAGTGAACATCAGATAGTTACTTAGTGAAGGCTCTAGCAATTAAGGATGCAATGCATCATCAATTAATATGTTCAGATTTAAGTAATGCATGCAATTGTTTGTTTATTTATTTTTTCCATAATAGTTTGTAAAAGTGAATTTAATAGTTGTGACGTGGACTAAATATTAATGTATGGAACTATTTTCTTTGTCAAATACCTCCAATGTTGTTTTTATTTATTTATTTATTTTTAATTTATAGATTGTGAATACAAATATAAATCTAGAGAAATATGAATACTAAACTTGCAGAATATGCCTAGAAACTTGCTAGACATGGCCAAGGACAAGAAAAGTTATCTGCCATGCCCAATTATGGAAGGACCGAGAGAGAAAGAAGAATTACTCAATGAGTTCACTACTTGCTTTGATATATATGTTTATAATAAAAATAAATTAAATCAAAACTATTTTATATATGATTAAAGATATTTTAAATATATATTTTTGCACTATTATTAATTAAGTAATCACCTATTTAATCATCTATTTATATAATCTATAGCAGATTATATCCGAGAATACATGTTTATATTTCATCCTACTTACTACACGCTTTGATATTTCACACGTAGTATAACAATTAAGGCAATTTCTTGGTTCTCCTATAACCTTTCATTACAAGTAAGCTCAAAATCTTTCACTATATGAAATGATACATTGGGTTGGATGTCTTGACTTTAGACACCCCATAAGTGCGATTACTAGTTTTTCATGGAGACTCACTAATTTGTTGGCATTCTAAGAAAAAAATCGCATTTGCTCAATCATCTTCTAAAGCCAAATTAATGTGCCACATGTAGGGCAATGGCTTATACAACTGGTGAACTTCAATGACTCCAATTTATACTTAATGATTTCCATACAAATAGAACCATAAATGAACTAGAAGACAAGACTTCCATGATGCAATACAAGTTGATCAAGGAAGACAATGGTGGTCACCTGTAAAAACTACAACGCCTAAGTCACCAAGAATTTCAATAAAGTAACAGCAAGTATAGAACGTGAAAATACCTAAAGATGATAACGTTTATAGGCGTAAAATGTGACATAAAACGTGAAAATTTGTTTGAAATTTATTAGGATATTTAATACGTAACGCATGTTTAGGCACGTAAAGTGTTAACTGGTCAGTTTCTAGGAGTCGATCTTGGATAATATATCAGGCAATGTTTCAGGGCTTATGTCATTTGAGTGTTGAGTCTTTAAGGTTACAAAAAGTGTCAGGTGTCAATCATCAAAAAGGGATATTCCAATCATATTGAAACTTTTTTCATAACATATTGGTTGTGCAATGTTATAATCAACATGCAGTTTCCTATGACAGCCAAAGTGCTTTTGATATTGCATCCAACCCTGAATTTCAATGAACACACCAAGCACCTCGAATTCATAAATATTAGTTCATTGTTGTTAAAAATACAAAGTAAATTATAAAGCCAAATAAATAAATAAAAAGCCTGGAACTAGGATATATACTACCACTTCGAATCACAAAAACTGAGCTTATGATAGTTTCACTACTAGAATTTCTCTTATTATATACGATTTTTATGTGTATTTTGCATAAAAAAATTTTAAATTTTTCTACAAAATTTTATCTCTAGGTATTACCTTCGTGGATAATATGTTTTTGCAAATTTTAAAATTCATAAAAAAAAATTCTAAAAAAAAATTCACAGGAAAGTTTCCTACGAAAAATTTGCAAGAAAGTTTCATGTGAAATTTCCTACAAATTTTTTTGCAAACAATTCTAAAGGAAAATTTCTTACGAAAAAAATCAAAGAAATTACTATTCGAAGGTAATTTTTGTATAATTTCTATTAATAATTTTTTAATTTTTAAATGCTTACAATGAAGCCATATGAAGCATTAAGAAATTTGCTTCCATGTCTCTAACATCTGATAGATAACCTTTTAAACGCATTGTAAATTATAAGTCTAATACTCAACCATACAAAATCAACTTGTAAGGTGGATGTTGCCCCAACTTATATACTCTTTAATTGTTTTATTTCTAATTGGTGTGAGACTTGAGAAAAATCTTTTAATTCTTAAACTTATAAATTTATGTATATAGTTTTTTTTTATTTTTCCTGCGGATTAAAATTGATAGAAAAATCTGCAAGAAAAGTTATCTGCGAGAATTCGCAAGAAATAAGATAAAATTCTTATAACATTTTCTGCAAAATTTTATCATGGAAAAAAATTTCTATAATTATTAAAATTGTAGCAAAATTTACAAAAAAAATTATAGATTATTTTTCATAAAAAATTTGTAAGAAATTTTTGTAAATTATTTTTCACTAATAAATTTACAAAAAAAATTGTAAAATTATTATTGCAAGAAAATTCATAAAAAAAAATCTACAAATATTTCTTTATAAAAAAATTTACAGGAAAATAACACTTTTTTAATAATGTTTTTTTCATTAGAAATTGTTTATGCAAGCACGAAAGTAATGTTGCTATGTGGCCCAATTGGTTTTTCATTATTAATTCACAAGATCTCTTTTAATTTAACAATGAAGGACTCGGCCCAATTTGTTTTGCTGCTCCATTTGTATTGCTCCACTTGTGTTTTACTGACCCCTTTTGTGTTTTTTTAGGCTCATGATATGTACATCTCATTTTTTTATAAGTATACCTTCTTTACACTTTTTTTTAAATTATAAAATATTATAGTTTTTTTTTATTTATAAATTTTATAATTTTACACCTTTAACTTTCAATTTGCTATTTTTTTCTGTTTTTTTCACACACTTTTTTTTTTCTTTTAATTTTTACATACTTTCAAAATAGGTGGGGTGAAGGAAAGGTAAGGGGGTGCATGTAAAAATTAAAAAAAAGAAGAAAAATGTATAATTTTTTTTTACTAAATTAAATGTTGTGAATATAAAATTAAAAAATTAAAAAATAAAAATTAAAAAATTAAAAATATTTTAAAATTTTAAATTTTTTTTAAAAAGAGGTGTACTTATAAAAAAAAAAGAAGGTGTATATATCATGAACTTTTTTTTTACTATTTCTTCGGCCTTGAGCCCAATCTGCAAATCATTTTTATCCTTTGTTCATTTTATTACTTGGCCAAAGTTTTTGGTGTGTGCAAAGAATAAAAAGTTAAGCTCAAAATCTTGTTTATTGTAATAAATTATTAATCTCATCAATGATAAAACCCATTAATTGATCCTTAAAATATAGTTAATATTAATCAATCTTTCTTCATGTTTTACTTTTCTTTTATCCTATCATTATATTTTGATAAAATTTAATATTAATTAATCTCATATTTATTGTATCTGTTTAGTCATTCATATATATATAT